TTTAGTGCTGCAGCTTTTATCTAACAAGGCACAGCCACACACTCACTCCAAAGTAAATACTGCTCAGGGGAACTGCTGAATTCCAAAGAAAGAGTGAGTTTCTAGAGAAGGTGCTGTTCTTCAACAACAACCTTAACTTTTGTCAGTAATGAAAGTCTCCTCATGAATTCAATAGTAGACTCTTTGGATAAACACCGCACAGAATTTTGGTTACAAATTCATTCAAGGCATTTGAAAGTCTTTATTGTGTTGCTTCCCATTCCCTTAAAGTGTCTGCACAAAATGGGTGAATTCTAATTTGCTTTGTTCTTTCAGAACCTTTTAATTAAATTTTAAGAAAATAATGTAGAACAACATTGAATGAAATACGGTCAGTACATTTCAGAGATGAGCAAAACATAAGGTAGCAGATGGTATGAAGAGAATATATGTGAAGAAATGTAAATAGCAGGGAACCTCACCAAATCAAAGATGTGAGGCAGAACTGAAAGCGCCTGCAAGACCCCTGGGAGAGCTGAGGAGATGCAGCAACCACTGAGCTCGGAGGTATCAGCCTTTCCTTGCCTAGAAATGACACAACACCAACAGGAAGCTCCAATCTGGTAGAGGGACCCCTCGTAACTAAGGTGAGATTGTTGTGAAGGGTCCTTAGAGTGAGTATGGGAGGAAGGGAGGAAACAAGGACAAGTGCCAACAAATGCATGCCAACAAAAACACTCTTGGAATAGGAAAGATACCAACTCTTCAGAACTGTAAGCAATGAAGACATTATAAAGGAGCTAATAGTAGAAAATAACCTTATATTGAAGACAAATGAGATGAATTGTTTAAGTTAGGCAGGAGACCAAGCAAAGAGAAGCTTGGTGTCATCAGAAGAGTTGTGAGCAGCAGAAACAGGCTGACTCGGGCTGGGAGGGGATGTAACCTGTGTGTTACCATTCTTTGGTCCAGGAGCTGCACTCCAGGTCTCTGAGCTGCTGTGGCTGCACTGATTGCTGGCTGGGAGCCACCTCTGCCACGACAGAGCCAAAGAAATTAGTGAGTGGATTGTGCCATATCTGTGGATCAGAGCAGAGCCTGGGTGAAGACCAAGCAGCTCTTTCTAACCTTCTGATAAAAAAAAAAAAAATATTAATACCAGACCAGTATTGTTAAAGAGAAGCCACCAAATGTTAGAGGATGTTTAAGGGTGAGGGAGGCACCCTTGAGGAGTAGGGCCCAGCTGATAACTGCACATTCAGCTGAAGGAATAGCTGGAAAATGGTGACCATTCTAAACGTTTGTATTTTAAATAGTTGGTAAGCACATTCCCACAGCAGAACTCCACAAACCTCACGGAGCCTAAATCACAACTATTCCCGTTTTGTATCTTCTTCTGCCCCAAGCTCCATTTGTCTGGGTGATTTATGAGGTAAGCTCTGCCTGCGCAAGGCTTCTCTCCTTCTGAATGGAGGAACAATTCAGATAAGGAACAAATCTCTTCTGAGTGAATAGAGGAAACTGGACTTAACTGCATTGACTAAGGTATTTATTGTACATCTAGGCCAGAGGAAGCTTAGCACTTTTAATACATATAAAACTGCAGAGAGCTGCTAGAAAGAGCAGAAACCAAACAAAACAGACTCACAAGTTCCTTAATTATTTAAATTAAGCCACTAAAGTAACAGGAAAGAAAGAGCAACAGATATCTATCAATTCCAGTGGCTGATTCCAGCCACCCACAGGAACTGAGGAGCAGTTGGCTCTGTGTCCCCTCAGGCTGAGGAACAGCTAAATTGTAATCACATAACCTTCAACAGGCAGTGCTTTTGTGGCTGTTGATTTCATAAGTTGTCTTGAGGTCCCTTGTCATGGAAGACATTGGATATAATTACAGAAAAAAAAAAAACCTCACAGGCCTGGTCCTGGGCAAGGTGCTTTGGTAACTCAGCAGCTCAGGGGATCATCAGCTCTTTGTAGACAGAAGCCTGATGCTAAGAGACAAACTGCAAGAAATAAATATCTGTGATACAACTCCAAGTTACCAGCTCAGAAAAGACCACGTGCAGAATTCCTAAGTGGCAATGAAACCACAGAATTAAAAATTTTAAGTGCAAACCCCAACATTAAGTCATCCATTTGCAATTGTTGGTGGTGAATCCATCTACTCCAGACGGGAAGAGGTCACTCTCTTCTTTTTCCAGGGCAAGTCTATGAATAATTTGAGTGATTAAAGCTCAAATCAGGTGTGAAAATGAAAGACCAGGAAAGCACATGGAAAAGAAACCACAGTCACAAAGAGAGACTCACTCAGCTTTCATTCTGGAATCAGGAAAGGCCCCTTCCATTTCTGTCCTGCCACAAAATACAGCTGAGCTCTGACATTTTTTCCCCAAAGAGTTGTCACTTTTAAAGGCACATTGAAATCTTATTTTTACTTTTTAGGTCTCCCTTCCTCTATTGGAGATGACCTAAATTTTGAGCTGAAGCACTCACAGCATCCTCGCTTGGAATAGAAAACAACAGCAAAAAAACATCAGGCTGTGAAAAGAGGCAAAATAATAGGAGGGAAAATTACAGTGAAGTCCTCCCTGAATAAGAGGAGGTCACAAAGGCTGCAGAAATAGAGGCTGAAGTGGTGCTATCCTGAGCCAGGGGACACAAAGTGGTTGCATTTACGGCCCAGGCAGAGGACAGGTGGGCAGGATGTGAATCGAAGCAAACGGCCGCAGTTCTGGGAATGCCCAACAGCTCTCAGCATCCCCCTTCAAACACAGCGCCGTGCTCCCGGGGAAGAAATGTCACAGACACCAAGCTCCAAGAGCCTCCTGTCACGAAAAACAACCCTACAAAAACCTGAATGCTTTCTAGGAGTGTTCAAATGGAATTAGGCAGCTACAGAAAGGGGTAGAGGCAATATTTTATATGTTAAATAGAAAAATGTATGGGAACACATATAGAGCCCAGTAATCAGCAGTAGACTACTGAACACTCATGTAGCTCATCATTAACAAAACAAACCCCAAAATGTACTTGCAGATACACTGACTTTGCTTTATTTTATTCTCTTAAACAGCCAGCAGAAACTAAGATTATAATCTGTGCCTTTTTGAAATTCCATTCAACAGATGTTCATAAACAGACATGAGCCAAATTTCAGGTCCCCAAAAGGATATTCAGCCCAAGAACTTTTACAAATGGATGATAAAGTCCCGCTTTCCCCCTTGTAATCATTGCTTTTCTGAGACACTAAATCCTCTCTGAGCCTCATTACAAGTTCCCACCAGCATAAAATGTATTTTTCATTTCCATTTCCTATAGTATTGTTTTCCAAAAATGGCATTTCCCAGCACAAGACAACTCTCCTTCACTCCTTTTTTATGTCACCTCCTCAATACCAAAGGATTGTCTCAGTGACAAGGCTCTGTTCTTCTGAGAAGATGAAAAAAACCCAAGTGGTACTAATAAATATTTACTTAATGTAAAGAAAAGGGAATTCAACAGTTAAGGATGAAAATTACAGGGAAGAAAAAAAAAAAGGTATTTGGAAAGGCAAGGCTGTAAGAAGTTCAGTTGCTGTTTATGAGATCGACTGCTCAATGGCTCCTTCTGGGACACAACGAGATGACTTCTTTAAAAGTATGGTCTAGAAATACCCCCAAATCACTGAAATTATAAGTCACCCGAGTATTTCAGCTGCAATACAAAATTAAGAAATATCAGGACACATAATGAAAATGGTGGAATGAAACCAGCATTGCACTGACTTGTCTATGTTAAAAGGGGAAAGCGGGGGGCTGAAGTGAAATGTTTTATTTTTACTTAATTACTCTCAGTGCTCCCTGGGGACTCCTTCCAAAGCATATTTTGTATTTGGACCTAAGTACAAGCAGGATTCAGCCTTGATCTTATTTCTTATGACAATAAGTTTCTTAAATTAGAAGTCCCACAACTGGAATGTTGACACCACTGCTGGTTCCTCCAGCACCTCGGAGTCCCTCCTGTGTTATCAATCCATTAACCCGGGAAGCAGTGAGAACAGGGGATCACAGACTGCTCAAAATTAAAAAATCCATCCACAAAACAATACTTTGTGAGCTTATAGCATCTTTCATCCATTTCTATTTATGTGGAAATGGGAAGTCTCAAAACACTTAAAAAAAATCAACAAACCCACCTAACTTCAAGGTATTCTGAAATGATAATATATTAATTGAGTGAGCATCCACCTGTGATGCGATTTAAGAGTCTCCTACTGCAGCATTTCACACATATTCAATCCACCTTCTGGTTACAGCGTGCAAGTTTATGGTATGTAGAAGGAACAGCCGAGCTGGTTAAAGATTTTCTCTTGCTTCACATACTCTGCAAGCTTCTCATTAACTCATACATGACTTTAATCAGTGCTGAAGCACACACTTCCTTCAGCATGCAGCAGGACTGAGCTGGGGGAAAAAAATCCTCCATAAAATATTATTGTAACCATGAATTAATAAAGAGAAGGGCAACGTTTTCCTAAAGTGGCTGCCGATTCTCATCTCTAAAGGGTTAAACCGACCTTCGCTGATCCAGAGGAGGTAATAAAATTGAACTTTAAGGACAAAAATGGAGCACTTCAAGAGATTATTATGAAGAGCTACATTCTAGAAGACAAAACCTTATTCTTAAAGCACAGATGCTTCTGAAACAAGAGATCGCACGTTTTTAAGAGCACACTGCCAACCGCTTATAATGAATAAGCAAAACGAGGGGAATCAGGGTGTTTTTTTCCTTTTTCGTTGGAGCTCAGAGGGAAGGGGCATTCACGGATGTGGTAGCAGAGCCAGCTCTGCACTTCTGCAGGGCTGTGGAGCTGGTGCTGGTCGGTGTGTGGGGGGAGAAAACAGAGTAGAACCTGAGAAAAACCCATCAGAGCTCCTGTCCTCCCCTTCCAGCGTTAATGGGAGGGATACGAGTCCATGGGAGCTGCAGTGGGGGATGGTGCTGACGGAGGGGGTGGGGAGAACCGAGCGAGGCCTTACAACCATCAGCAGCTCTTGTTCTTGTTCCTTTCAGCCTTAGCAGGAGGATGTGAAGCTCATGGAGCCGGCAGCGGGATGGGGCGGGGGGGGGAAGCAGCGCAGGATCATAGTTTAGCTTTTGTCCTCTCTCCGCAGGGTTAATAGGAGGACACGAGTGTCACCGGGATGAGGGCAGGGCCGGGGGGGCACGGCGGGGATCGCAGCTCCCGGCAGCGTGTGCTGGGATTTGTGGGGTCCTGCGCGAAGTCACAGCACCCGCGGGCTGTGGGGTGGGGGGGTGGGGGGAACACGGGGCAAACTTCCCTCAACGTGGCGGCTCCGCTTATCCAGCACGGCGGGCCCGGGGTGCCGCGGGGTGGGGCGAGCCCCGGCCTTATCTGTGGGGCGCAGGGAGCGCGGTCCGCGGGCAGGGAGAGCCCAGGTGCGCTGACACAGGGAAGGGGGGCACAGGCACAGCTCTGAGGGCGCTCCCTGCCCGCAGCGGGAGCGCGGGGCTGAGGCCAGGCCCCGGCCCCAAAACAGCGGAAAGTTTCCCCAAACTTTGGCGCGGGGGTCCCGTCCCCCCTCAGCGAACCCCTCACGGCGCCCCCCCCTCCCCGCGGCTGTTCCCGCCCCCGCCGCAGGGGGAGGGGGGCGCTGTTCCCGGCTCCGCGCCGCGTTTTCCCGCTCACCCCCCGCTCCCCGCGCCTCCTCACTCCTCCGCGCCTCCGGATCCCTCCGCCGCAGCCGGCGCTGGGGCTTTTTCACCTCCCCCACCCCCACCGCTTCATCCCGATTATCCCGCCCGAAGCTGCGGGGAGGGAAACGCTTCTCCCAGCCTGTTCCTGAAACGGGGTCCCGGCTGCAGGGACCGCGGGACGGAGCGTTTTGCCGAATGAGGGAGAGAGGCGGTTGGGACTACTTGGCGTTCCTGCCACGGCCTCGGCGGAAGGAGCGCGCTTGAGCGAGAGGCTGTGCGGTACTGCGGCTCTCCTCAGCGCTTCCTGGAAACTCCCGCTTAGGAGCGAGGGGGGGCGGGAGCGAAAGAGTCCCAGGCCGGGAAAGGGAGGGGGGCAGGGCACAGCCCCCTCCCCGGGCCCGGACGCCCCCCGGGCCCTCTGACGCCCCTCCGACCGACCCTCACCCTGTCTTCCTGTGCAGATGGAACAGGGAGAAGTAATGGGTAAAACTCCCTCGTAACCGCCGTGCGGGGTAGTGCGGGCTGAACCCCTTTTCCCCTCACAATCCGGAGGTGAAAGGCTAGACTCCCCTTTTCCCCTCACAATCTGGGGTCTGTAAGAGCAGACTCCCCATTTTCCCCTCACATCTGGGGTTTGGAAGAGCAGACGCCCCAATTTCCCTCACAATCTGGGATCTGGAAGAGCAGACTCCCCATTGTCCCCTCACACCTGGGGTCTGAAAAAGCAGACTCCCCCTTTCACAACCTGGGATTTGGAAGAGCAGACTCCCCATTTCCCCCTCACAACCTGGGGTCTGGAAAAGCGGACTCCCCCCTTTCACAACCTGGGGTTTGGAAGAGCAGACTCCCCTTTTCCCCTCACAGCTTGGGGTCTAGAAGAGCAGATGCCCCAATTTCCCTCACAACTTGGGGTTTGGAAGAGCAGACTCCCCTTTTCCCCTCACGACTTGGGATCTGGAAGAGCAGACTCCCCTCTTTCAAAACCTGGGGTCTGGAAGAGCAGACGCCCCAATTTCCCTCACAACTTGGGGTCTGGAAAAACAGACGTCAATTTCCCTCACAACTTGGGGTGAAAGAGCCCCTTTCCCCCCGAGGGGAGGCCGGGCTGGTAAATGCAAAACGCTGGTACAGAAGCGTTTTAGCACAATCGGGCTGGAAAGCTCCGACTGCAACGGGCTAAGAACAAAAAAAAAAAAGAAAAAAAAAAAAAAAAAGAAAAAAAAAAAAAAAGAAAAACGTGAAAAGGCTCCTTTGCTGCCCTCTGCCTGCCGAGGCTGCGGGGGAGCCCAGCCGCCTCCGAGGCTGGCGAAGGGCTGACATTGCCTGAATGAAAAAACGGAGGAATTCGGGCCAATTCGGCACACCTGTGGTGCTTCCACAGAATCAATTAGGTTGGAAAAGACCTCTGAGATCATCGAGTCCAACCTTTCCTGGCTCTAGATGCACTGAGTTATTATTTTCCCCACGTGCAGATGTGCTCCTGTTTACCTCACTTCATAACGACTTCAGTAGAAGGTAAAACTTTGGACTAGGCTGAAGGATGCCTCCAAGCTGAGAGGGTTTTGGGGTCTGCACTTTAATACTTGAATTATTTAACAACACAACAGTACAAATGCCTAACAAATACAAGCCACAGGAAAAAAAAAAAAAAGTGGAATAAACAGGAGGGTAGAGCGAGTGTGCTGATAAATGCCTGTGATACACAAACACGGGCAGTAAATGCCGTGTGGTTCGTTAGATACTGGCTGGGGCTATCCTGCCCTGCAGTTAAAGGCGTCTCACTTCCTCTGGCTTCTCCAGATTGGTGCCTTGTACCAGCTCCTCTCTCCAGCTCTGCTGGTTCCCAGTTTGCCCCCCTTTAAATGTGGAGCTGTTGATCCTCTCTGGTGTTACAATGCAACTCTTTGATGTCCAAAGCCCCTTCCTCCACCGAATCCACAAGTTTCAAGGATGCTGGGACTACACAGGAAAGGCAGGCAACATGTAATGAAATTATGTGGAAGAGAAAGATCCATTAGAGCAAGGAGATACTAGTAAATCCTGTTAGCAGCCAAGTATTTCCATAAAAATTTCCTGATTCTAGATGCCCAGCACCTTTCCTATCCATTTCCTTAACACCATTCCTAAATCCCTACGTGGCTTCATTTACAAACCTAAGCCCCAAATGTAAATTGATGGGGGAGAATCTCTTTGAAGTCCTGTCTCCTTGGGTTTTAGCTCTAAATTCTGTAGTTCAGGGTCTACTGGAAAGGGCAGCCTCCAGCTCTAGGAGCAGGAATCATCTCTGGCCTTTAGACTCCTCCAGCACCGCTCAGTTGAAGATGAGCTGTGTTAATATCTTTTAGTTATGTGCTGTTTGCTGAACTTTTATTCATTTGCTCTTTGTACCCCAGTCAGTGCAGAACAGCTTGTAAATACATGGATTTATTCTGCCACTGCTTCCCTTAAACATCAAAATATTAAAACACAAAAGCTCCCCGATTACTCCTCAGCAGATCAGTGACTTTACACACAAGCAGCTTTCCCTGGAGCAAATTAAAACAACTCTTTCAAAAAAATTGAGCTGAAGTGGATTGTTTCCGGATTCCCAAGAGCTGTGAGGGACACTGTGCAACACCAGGATCCTCAGAGCGGCTGCAAAAGGTAAAGCTACACCTTGAGAAATCTTGGGTCCTGCAATTAAGTTCAAATTAATTATTCTGAATTAATTTTGTTCAGTTAATGGTGTTAATTACCTGCCTGGCAGACTGTTTAGAATTTGGAAGCATTTAATGACTGCTACATAAAGATTTTGCAGTTGGGAATGATTTTTTGATAACAGATCCAATACCAATCCCTGTCTGGCCTCCCAGTTGTGTTGGCTCCCCAATGCCAGGTGGAAGGGCAGTTCTGCTTGCTTTGCAATTGTGCTTTAAGTGATTACTAGATCCAGTATTTACACCTGCATTTTTAACTTTTTGGCTGACAACATTTTGTATTTTTAAAGTTATTGAAGTAACTCAGTCCTAAGCAGACATTCTGCTGAATCCAGAATAGCAGAATCCACTAAAAAAGGTGTTAGTTTTATAAAGCTGAGCACATTTTAACCAGAGAAAGCTGGTTTTATGGGCACAGAGTACTTGAGACTCGCTGCATTTGAAGTGATATCACTGAAATACCACTGAAAGGCACTGCAGGAGACCCTGATTTTCATCTTCCCAGCCTTCTTCCAGGCCTCTGGCAGAGGATGAGGGAAGTTTACAGGAGTTTCCTAAATGGGAAAGGAAAGAACAGCAATTTGAACAGTACAGTTGTGAATCAGAGGCCGAGGAAGCGTTGTCATGTGAAGGGAATCCCACTGTTAAGGACAGAAACGCTCCTGTGCCTCTGTGCACAAGTGGAAGCCCTGGCAATGCTGCTGCCCAGTCACAGCTCCCACGTAGTGAGGTGGAGATTATCCAGCCAAAGCAAACAGGCTGGGGGAGTCGGGCAGGTGCTTTTGGAGGAGGGTGTTTCAAACACACTCCTCAGCCCTCCACATGACCTGTCTGGCATCCCGCAAGGCTGAGTTAGTCCTAAAGTCAAAGGAGTAAAATGCAGGTAAAAGATAGAGGTGTCTCCTCTCCGTGGAGGAGAGGACAGAGAGAGCCCAAGGCAGCAATGAAATTTCCAAGGCATCATGCTCATTTTTCATCAAACAACCATTAGTAAAATTGTTTTCTTTGCTTTTGACAAATCAGTTCAAGCCCACACACATCCTGCAGGATACATTACACTGGGGGCTTGAGCCTCTTTCATTTCCCAAACAACTCTCTCACCCTGTAAAGCACTCAATTACACATCCCTCATGACACAATAATTCCTAATATTTATACTCTTTGTAATGAATGGAAGATGCGTTGATGGATAAGCCAGATACAGCATAAACATCAACATAAGTGGCTGAACTTGATTCACATTTTCTGGTGCTGTTGAGCTGCCCTCTTACAAATCTTTTTGCTCTTCTCCTGGTCTCAACAGATTTAGAATGGTATTTCAAAGACCACTGATGACACCATTCAGTAGCTGGTAAGACAAAGAATTCATGGATGGAGTTAATAAGGGAGATAAAAGCAGTCTGTGCCCCAAACCCAACATTTTCATAGTGCACGTGGGCTGGTTGTGTGAGCCAGATGCAGAGAGCTCTAGGGATGCTACGCTGCAATCCTACAACCCTAATTCTTGCGCATTTAAGGCTGTATCTGATTAGGCATTTCTGTATTTTCTGAGTATGTAATTATCTAGCACAGTACGTGCGAGTCACGGAGTAAACCCAGTTGGGAGCGGAGCACTGGGAAGGGGAGGAAAGGTCTGTACGTGGGTGGGTGGGTTTGTCCATGTTGGTGATTGCAGCAGCCTGGGAACACAGTGTGGAAAAAAGCCTTTCCTGGAAAGAAACTGAGATGAAATCCCAGCACTGTGCTGCGAGCAGTTATCACCTCTCTGTAGACCACGAATGAGAGGTGATAACTAGATCCCAGATCCTTGTAGGATCCTCATTAGGAAGAAATTCTTTACTCAGAAGGTGGGGAGGCCCTGGCACAGGGTGCCCAGAGCAGCTGTGGCTGCCCCTGGATCCCTGGAAGTGTCCAAGGCTGGGTTGGACAGGGCTTGGAGCACCTGGGACAGTGGGAGGTGTCCCTGCCCATGGCAGGGGGTGGGATGGGATGGGCTTTAAGGTCCCTTCCCACCCAAACCACTCTGTGGTTGTGGTGGTCTGTGATCCAGAGCACCCCCTTGGGTACAGTGCCAAGCAGGTGACAGCTGTAGAAAGAGAAGTTTCAGGCTTCTCAGAGTTTAAGAATTAAGGAAATCCAAGTGTCCTTGCTGTGAATGCAAGGTAAATTATTCATTC